TTAATGTTATGAAGATTAGATGAAAGAATCGGCAGTAGTATATTTTCCCTATAAACTGGATCTTAACATCTCGCTTCAACAACCGAACTATTTCAGTATGTTTCAAGCAGCAAGAATGTCAATTCACTACGCAACAAAATGGGTTCCAAACCGTAAGATCCCTAATATAAATATCGTAATCTGCTCATATCTACCCGATGATAGGCGCTAAATCAGTTGTGGTTCCACAGATCGTTAACAATTGCTTGGATAACTGTGGTAATTGTAGAACTAATACATGCAAATAAGGTTAAAACCAAGCGATCCATTGGATTGTTATAATTGTGGAATTTTAGATAACATATTCTAGATCGTATGGTCCTGTACCGACGACAGATCTTTCAAATCTCTGTCCTATAACTTTTGATGGTAGTATTTAGGACTACCATAGTTGCTCGGGTAACAGAAAATCCGGGTTCGATACCGAAGAGGGAACCTGAGAAACGGCTACCACATCTTAGAAAGGCAGCAGGCGCGCAAATCACCTGCTCCCATTTCAGGACGATAGAGACAAAAAATAACAATACAGGACTCATGAATACACTTTAAATCTTTTAACAAGAACCTTTTGGCGACCAAGTCTTCTACCAGCACCCGCGATAATTTTAGCTTCAATAGCATATATTAAAGTTATTTCGATTAAAACGTTCATAGTTGAACTTCTGTTTCATACTGGTAGTACAATTATAATTGTAATATGTATCTTAAGTATGCAAACGGTAAAGTTCTTATATATATATTAAATATTTATATTTTTTATACAAACTAACCGGAGCTAGCTAGACATATTAATGTCCAGCGCACATGGGTAACTTTTCTTGAAAAGAAGCTCACCACACAGCTGCTTCAACTAATATATAACCTGCTCAGCTTTACAGTATCGATGCTGACGGGTTACTGCGTACTAGGAAGATATGCTATAAGAAGGAGATCATTGAGCTATAACACTGATTAAGGTGAAACCTGTACTCGACCTTATGTGTCAATTTCTATCATTGGCTAAACGTAGATTCAAAATCTTTGGTGCTCCTTTTCTTAATAATTCGAGAGTTATGTCATCCTACAAAATGAGGGACTTTTTCAAGTTTATAGATTTGTCAGGTTGAATCACTTTCACGTGAAGGTGGGAGCTGTGCCTTTCAACGTTATTTGTACACTGAACTGTACTTAGCGAATGATAACACCGTAATAATAAGATTCAAACAATGTATTAAATATACTGAAATAAAAATTTGATTGAAATCTCAATCATATATGATTATCTGTAAATGGAATAAACTTTTACTTTCGGAACAACGAAATGGATAATTCTGCATGATATAATATATATATAATTTTTAATACAAAATATTTATTAATATATTTTCACAAAGTATTTAGTCTAAAATTGATTTTGTAATTTACTAATCCCAATAAAGTCATAACAGATTCATGTTCACTTTTAACTAAAATAAATTTCAAAGAAAAAAAGAAAAATTTCTAGGTCATCACAGAAGCTGAGAGAGAAATTCAGTTAGACAAGAGAAGCTCATCATTTTGTACATAAAACCTGGTAATAAATAATTGCAAATTGATATTTATTGCAAATATTTTTATGATTATTATGAACTGTGCCGGTACTAAGAACTAAAAGCAAAACATAGATAGTTAAACTGTTAACTATGATCCGCTTTATGAAAAGGGAAATAAACTTTGCTGGTGTTTTTGCTATGGTTAATACCGCATTTACTGTAAACAGAAAAATTAACAATAATAGCGAAAAGCAAATATCTTTACTTTCATCGTATTATGTGCTTCATGTTCGTTGTAGATACTTTGTATATTGAATTGCGAATCACAGTTTAAACGCTAAAAAAGAAGCAAAGAGCTTACATTGAATTGATTTGTATATTCTTTCTGTTTTTCACCCAATTTCAAGGCCTCGTCATGTCATTTGCACTCATTTGATTTTCACATTGGATTTTACTCTGCCAGCCACATTTGTGCCAATTTCTAAAGAACTGGGCCAAATCGAAGCAAATCGAAATCGCTACAATGTGAAGTTATTCGATGGCGTTTGGCTTGAGTACATTTATTTTCAGTTAAGATAGCTACGACTATTTGTATCTGTTAGAGGTTTGCGTTAGCGAGTTGGTGAAATGTTGTACTAATTAAAACTTTTTTCAGTTTGTTTTCTGTTTTTTTCATAATTTTATTTCTTTGTTCAGTTTTTACTACTCAAACAGCACATTTTTGAAAGAGTTAATTGATTTTAAGTTTTGTTTTCTTTTGTATAAATTAATCGAAATCGTGTTGTTCGATCGTTTAAATATTTAATGCCTTGTATGTGCTCTTGTCTTACATGAAATACCTCAGCCAAAACTGTCAATCTCAGATTAAATTGTATAACACGAATTGTGAAATGTTTATTTGTTTTTTATTTATTTATATACAAACATATATATTTAATTAGATTTATATTTATTTATGTTTTATATTGTGGGAATGTTCTCAGGTAGTGAGATGAAAACTGGTTTTTCAATTTACCTTTAAGAATAATATGTGAGAAATTTTTATTATTTATGAAAGCTAATCAAATTAATTAAAAAATATATATTTGTAATATAAATGTCTGTTTTTCATACTACAATATATATAGATAAGTCATCTATTATAAGCAACAATTATGTTTAGAGTAGTTTATAGTTGAAACAATTGCGAACTTGAAGTGCAGAGAAGGCTCAATAGCTGTAAGAAACTTAGAAGTGATGCTAATCATCGCATTGCTTATGCCAAACCCAGGTTTACAGGTAAGAATCTGTAGAATCCCCCGAAATTCTTACTTCTAGGCAGGGCTTCGAACCGGAACCGAACCGAAACCGAACCGAAAAACAAAAAAACCGATTTTTTTGCTAGAACGAAAACCAGAACTGAACCAAAATATAGCAGTTTATTTAGGTTTAATAACATACGATATAGCTTGGTATCTGTGCATTCACGCAAATTTCCCTTTAGTTGTTGATTTTTTATTCATTTATTTTTTTTAAATAAAACTTAAATTGACTCAAATTACACGAAACATGTTAACTAAACTATTAAATTTAGAACTAAAATGCAACAGACTATTGAACGAAATAGAACAGAAATGTATACACTTCAAGTAGTATATGATAGAGAATTTTTTTAAGATTTAGCCAAAGTCGTTCATCTTCAGTGTACAATGATGGACCGAAATATTTGTAATATAAATAATTTTGTATAAAAATTAATATATAATTTAATACTTAACACAATTTAATAAGTGTAATTTTTTATTTAAAAAACATTTATAATTTTATATGACCTAAACCCAGTAACAATAAAAAAAACTAAGTGAAATATTTATATTAAAAAAATATACAAAAATAAGTCATGGATAACTTCACTAAGAATACGGAATACAAATTTAGAAAATATTTGTATAGAAAACTATTATCAAATATATTATATAAAAATATTATATCAAAAATCTTCTGTGTAAATAATGTAAAAAACACTCACAAACCGCAATAAAAAAATGGAAAGCAAATTTAGAAAATAATTTTATAAAAAATCACTACATTATTGTTAAAAATTTTAAATGAGATAAAATCTCTGTATAAATATATTTAAAAACGCTAGGTACCTACACTAAAAACACCAAATGTAAATTAAGAAATATTTCTATAGAAAACCTTTGTATAAACATATTTAATATTAAAGAATGCTAGCAAACTGCACTAAAAACAGATATAGAAAATTTACACATTTTAGAAAGTTTTATAGTTAATTAATAAAATAATATTAAAATTTTTAAGTTTATTTACATATTCCAATGGATCGTAGAGTCTAAATTGGACCAAGTTAAAGTTTAAGGAAAAGGCTTAAAATAAGTGACGAATTTTTAATTTATTCGTCACTTATTATTAATATAATTTATTATTAATATAATAACCTATTAATTGAATATAATTGAATTATAATAATTTATAAATATATGAATAAAATAAATAAATAATTATTATTAATGCTTTAATAAAAATAATATTGCATTATTATATTCAAATATTTTTTTAATATAGAGCATGTTTAAAATTTTAAAACCAATTTATTATTAATATAATAACCTATTAATTGAATATAATTGTGTAATAATTATAATAATTTATAAATATATGAATAAAATAAAATAAATAACTAATTAATATTAATGCTTTATTAAAAATAATATTGCATTATAAATATTATTTTATTATAGAGCATGTTTAAAATTTTAAAACCAATCATATTACAAAATAAGTTTATCTTTAATGTATAATAATTTTAGTAACTTCGTTTCGTAGAAACTGTTATCTTTAAGTACTATTTTACCATATCAAAGTCTGACACATAATAAGTTTACAAAATATGGAGAATATTTTTTTTAATTGAAAATATAAATATGTACGTGTATATATAATAAAATAAATAATTTATAAATATTAACAAGTAAATAAAAATTTAAAAAAAAATACTTAACATATTGGCGCATATATGCAAATAAAAATAGAAGAATTATTCAAGGTTAAAACGTTTGAAAACCCATTTAACCATAAAATATATAATCTGTTAGTGTTTTGTTTGTAAATAGAAAACCATTAAACATTATCAGTTGTGAAGTTAGCAAATTTCATTATATATTCTGCAGAAATTTAAGTCAGATAAGAGTTTTTTATAAATACATCAGGTGCGCCAATTGTTTTTAATACGAAAAGTAACAAGTTCATATAAAAATACGATTGTTATTAGGAAATCTGGCGCCATAAATACTAAAGAATTAATCACAAAGAAAGGATTTAATTAAACGCAACGCAGACCATATTTTTTATGGATTATAATTAAATTATCGCGTTTAAATTTTGAAATTCAGTTGATTCATAAATAATTTTGGTTAATCATGTGGCCCGGTCCCTTATTATTCTCACCTGCTTCTGAGGTTTTCACAGTGGCGAGCACTTGTAATTGTATAATTCGCCTTAAATAGTCCTCAACATGATTCATCAATTCTTTTGTATACATTTTTTTTTATACGAAAAATGTCCCGGTAATATAAAAATTTCTAGTATTTAATTGGATTTTATGCAGAAATATTTTATATTTTTATTTCTTTCGTGTTTTTGTTTTTTTTTGTTTTTTTTTTTTTTTGCACTATGAACACAATTGTGAAAATTTTGTATATTTTGTATTAATTAAAATGTTAACCATTTTCTCGTGCTACGCCTTTAAGTGTACGTGTTCATTACCCGTTTACAAATGAGTCAGTTTTGTTCATTTTTAGTTTGAGAAATTATTATCAGTAATGTAAATACTTGATAAAAAAAGTTGATGATTAAAGCGAAACAAACAATGAAAACTGCTTTGAGTTAAACGACGGAACAGAACAAGCAATAGGCAACTTGGAGAGCTTGAAATTGTTCTACAAATAACAGCTGAAATATTATTTCTTTATTGAAACTTGAGTACAGTGATAAGTTAAAAACATTAAACTTATGTGTAAACATTATATATATATACAAATATAAATAAATAAAAAGAATAGTGAGTGAAAATTTTATATATTTTGGGGTTCCACAGCGTAAACATAACACGGATTGTAAATCAACTAAGCATGTTGAAGTTCCAAATAAACGTAAGCAATACATAATGTTCATTAACGTTGACATTTACTTGTTAAAAGTTATTTACTGTGAACGTAGCGTTAAGTTACTACACAACTTTTAGTTTAATGAAGATAAATAGACATAAGAAAACACTGATATAGGTGAAGTAGAACAAGTTACAGATATCCTAAACTTTATCGTGTAACATGGACCTGGAATAAAGGAATTAGGACGTAAAGAAACTTTACTTACTTACTGTAGTCCTTTTCTCCTTGTGTAGCATAAGCCCATAAGGAGGTGCCAAATTCACGCTAAAACATTACCAAGATGAATGAAAACTCTAATAAAACTTTGCGTGATATTAATTTGAATCTATCAATTAACATATTATTATGTTAGTGCGTCTGACCACTTCAACTCTTTGATAGCTGAGGGAGCCCCACTCATCTCACCTCATAAGCTTCATGATTATTCAACGACTGATCTAAGATCTGCGTATTGCCTTGTGCGATTAGTGATTACTCTAAAATTAGTTAGTGCTAAGTAGGACAGCATTTCGGGTTTCGCATATAGCTTCAGCGCTCTGTCCCTAATGTATTTTTGACCGAATCTATTTTAAGGTCTCTTAGCAGATCTCTCGTGCAGATGTACCATAGCATTTTCAAGAGTCTTCAGAGAGCCTGACTTTGAGCAACTTGTAGCTTCTGGATGAGACGTTTAGTAATTGTAGTAATCTTAAAGTGATTACTCTTCAATATTTCTCATAAATTGGGCTCCTCTTCTATTATTCGCCTATTTGTTTTTTGTTAACAAAAATAAGTTTTATTTGCTTTATAAGTTGAGTTTAGTGACTCTATATTTGTTAATTTTACATTTAAATTTAATAAAGTTTAATGGATGAATATCAGAATATACTTTTTATATCCGCACACACACACACACTACCTTACTAATACTATCTTTTAACACTGACCAGCAATAAAGCAATTAGAACATAAAGAAACTTCTTGATCCACCCATCCATTAATTAACATATAAATTATTTTATGTACTAAAACTAATATAATACATAATGTTACATATACAAATTATGCAAATATAAACAAAAACATTTGAATACCAATAATCAGCCATATTGAAATCTCAATGTTATCCTCAAATATTATTTACATTTTTTTATTTTCTTTTCAAAATAAGGATCATCAGCCGGTTTTAAAGACTCACTATAAATTTTCTTAAGAAGTCGATATGATTTTGCGGCACTTTACTTTGAAATAAAATAATGCAATAAAACATTTTTAAGAAAATAAATAAATTAATTACAAAGTAAATGAATGACTTTACTATGTTTGACAGCACAAACATAGTAAATGTATAAAGGTGTCAAGCGCCAGTATTATCAGATATATATAAATGTTACAAATACAAGATTGGCCGGAAATTATTAAAGGCCGTAAATTATTTTACATAATGCAAAAATGTGCTATTTGCATTTTCTTAGTAAACAAATAATACCATAATTGATCAAGAAGACAGTTGTCCTTTTTTATTATGACACCAGTTTACATATTATTTTCGTAAGCCGTCAAAAATGCTGAGCCTTTGAGACTTGACTTAGTGTAAAAAGAATATAATAAGGTTTTTCGAGATATTTTTTAAACAGTAAACGTAATATAGGTGATATGTTGTAGTTTATATAATCTAAATGACCAGTTATTTCAATAAAAGATACACAATCCAAACAATCAGCAGCCTAGTAACTAATTTTACATTTGACATGATAATGACTGTCTATATAACATGTATAGTTTTCCAATATAAAACTATACATTTGATTCACAGTACCGATATGAAACTTTTTAAAATAATAATAACTTTTACGGGAAACTGAGCTATGATTTAGTATAATGCTTGGCTTGATTTGCCCCTTGATGTGGATCATATCGCTAATGTTGAGAAAAGGACACCTAAGTACCTTTCATACCACTGTCCACAAGTACATAATCAATAAATTTAGCATCATCTATGAAACTGACTGGCTACACAACATCCAACCCTCTCTCTTAAATTTATGAGAAAAATGCAATTAAAAGGAACATGCTATGATTTAGTATAATGCTTGGCTTGATTTTCCCCTTGATGTGGATCATATCGCTAATGTTGAGAAAAGGACACCTAAGTACCTTTCATACCACTGTCCACAAGTACATAATCAATAGCATCATCTATGCAACTGACTGGCTACAAAACATCCAAGCCTCTCTCTTAAATTTATGAGGAACATGCAATTAAAAAGGAGGGTGAATTTCCTTTCGGATTATCTTTCTTTCTTTTTTCTATACTTGATATTTTTACGGATTTGAAGGGTATTATTTGAGAGCGGCATCGGTACAGCAATATGCCTAGAACTCAACTAGAAAACATTTTATCAATTTGTTTTGTTAGATTACGTATCAATTGATTCCGTTTATTTCAACAAATCTCAAGACATGCACATTGGAACTAAATGTCTTAATCAAAATAAACTCCGAAGACTATGATTTTTAAGAACTTATCATATTATTTCAATGGAACTTCTACAATCAACTTATAAAAGGTATTAGATATAATATAAAACACAATCTTAAATTTCTCTAAATTAAGAAATAAATTTAAAATAATTAATCTTTAAATACGAATAAATAATTTTTCAAATCACTTAATATTTAATTGACTCCTATGTGACATTTTAGAATTTTATTGTTACTTAATTTTTCGGAGCTGCGATGAAGATGCTCGTTAGTTGAAGAGATAACGATTTCATTGAAATTGAATATGTAACATCCACAACTATACAAACTAGTGATAATTCTATAAATAAAATTATGACATTATAATAGAATAATTAAGTGTTGAATTGGTTGCTGCTCCCGTTGTCATTGATATTATTGTTGGTGGTATCGGACTGTTGCTGTTGCATCACATCATACAGTTTGGTCCGCTCCATTGACCCAATTTACTTGCAGTTGTAAAATGCGCGGGCGCTAAACAAAACGCACCATCGGAAAAATCTATTAATTTAATTTATGCGTTTTATTTTTAGTTCCAGTTTGTTGAGATGCAGCTACCATGTAGCCAGCCGATGCATATGTAAACTTTTACAAAGAAACCATAGCAGTCATGAGAAAATCAGGAATCCAGTTTTTTTTTTGTAGTAACAAGTTGTGTTTTTATTTTTGATTAAATTATATAAATTTTTAGTAGTCATCAATATACATAAAAATATCTATAAAAGATAATTTGATTGTATAATTTTTAACAAAGGAAATATATATAAAATTGTTAAAAAAATATATTTTATATCTTTTGACACATAAACCTTAAAAAATAATTTCAAAATTTACATGCAAATAGTAATTTTTATTATCTCATTTTTAAAATTATTTAATTATAACACAATACAGTTATAATTAATTAAAATTTATTAAATAATTAATTAAGACTAATTATATTTGATTAATAATAATTATTTTTTATTATAATATAATCATCATTAAATATATTTAATTATGACTAACGAAAACTTCCGAGCATCGTGCAAGATAATTATCAAATACTATTTTAATAACCTTATCGAAGTAATATATTTTAAATGTATCAAGGACCACATTTAAAAAAATAAACCTTTACCATAAAAACATTTTCAGTTTACTACATTTTTTTATAAGGTAATAAGATAGATCTATAGAAATATCTACTAAGCAATGATAGTTATTTCTAGATATAGCACTTATTTCTTTTATAATAGGTATATGATGCCAGATATAAGGCTTTGATGTCTAACCCTGCTATATAAATTTTGCAGAACGTTGGAACAGCGCACCGTCCAACAAGTGGCCGCACTGAAGTGAAGGATTAGCCGAAGTATACCACGAAACGACTTGCATCCTTTTTCGTTCTTCGATTCTCGGATGTCGTTATTGAGGTAAAGCTAGAGTGACTTCCGTTCGCATCACTACATCTCTTGTTATTGCAAGCAGCTAATTTCGCTTGAGGTTGTCTGCTAAGTCATCACCAACCCAATGGTGTCCCAAGACAGTCATCCTCCTATTTGTCCGCTCTCTCATTTTCTTCTAGATAGACTTTGCAAGTCTCTTCCTCAACAAGAGTTATCTTTTTGAGGTGATACTTGAAGTTGCCATGTGCAGTAATCAATGAGGCCAGCCAATGAGGCCATAAAAATAATGTTTTTATGTATATGTTTTACTGTTAATGTTTTGGTAGTTCGCTTTATAGATAAACATCCTCTGCCTACTTGATCATTGGTCATATCATGTTGTGAACTACAAGAACAAAGATATGTTATAATATGCTTCCCTTGTAAAATGACAGCACATATTAACAGCTACATAATGGGATGACATCTGTTAATTATAATGCTCTGGACACTGAATTCATCATATGTTACATTATTTTAAGTAGG